GTCTCCAAGGTTTATGCCATTCTCCAAATATGTACCAGGAAAAAAAGTAATTTTAATTGCAGTCAAAGTAAAAGTAAAAGTTAAATGCCAACATTTAGAGTCAGAGTCATAGAGCTGTACGACATGGACACATTCTTCAGTCCAACTTGTCCATGCTGACCAGATATCCTGAATTAATCTAGTCCCATTTGCCAGCATTTGGCCCATATCCCTCTAAGCCTTTCTGATAATATACCCATCCTGCTGCCTTTTAAATGTTGTAATTATACCAGCCTCCACCGCCTCCTCTGGCAGTTCATTCCATACACACTCCACCCTCTGTATGAAAAAGCTGGTCCTTAGGTCCTTTTTAAATCTTTTCCCCTCACTTTAAACCTATGCCCTCTAGTTTTGAATATTCTGCACCCCACCCCAAAACTCAGGGGAAAGACCTTGGATATTCACCCTATCCATGCCCCTCATGATTTTATAAACTTCTATAAAGGTCACCCTTAGCCTCCTTCCTCCAGGGAAAATAGCCTCAGCCTATTCAACCTCTCCCTATGGCTCAAATCCTCAACTCAAGCAACATCCTTGTAAATCTTTTCTGAACCCTTTCAAGTTTCACAACATCCTTCCTATAGCAGGGAGATCAGAATTGCACACAGTATTCCAAAAGTGGTCTAAACAATGTCCTATACAGCCGCAACATGACCTTCCAAATCCAAACTCAATGTTTTGACCAATAAAGGCAAGCATACCAAATGCCTTCTTCATTTTCCTGTTGACCTGGGACTCCACTTTCGAGGAAGTATGAAACTGCACTCCAAGGTCTTGTTGTTCAGCAACACTCTCCAGGACTTTACCATTAGGTGTATAAGTCCTACCTTGATTTGCCTTTCCAAAATGCAGTACCTCACATTTACCTAAATTAAACTCCATCTGCCACTCCTTGGCTCATTGGCCTGTCTGATCAAGGTCCCATTGAACGTTGAGGTAACCTTCTTCACTGTCCACTACACCTCCCATTTTGATGTCATCTGCAAACTTACTAACCATACCTCCTACGTTCACATTCAAAACATTTATGTAAATTACGAAAAGGAGTGGACCCAGCACAATCCTTGTAGCATACCACTGGTCACAGGTCTTCAGTCTGGAAAGCAACCCTCCACCACCACCCTCTGTCTTCTACCTTTGAGCCAGTTCTGTATCCAAATGGCCAGTTCTCCCTGTATTCCATGTGATCTAAACTTGTTAACGTACCTACCATGAGGAAGCTTGTTGAATACCTTACTGAAGTCCGTATAGATCACATCCACCACTCTGCCCTCAACAATTCTGTTCATTACTTCTTCAAAAGACTCATCCAATTAGTGAGGCATAATTTCTGACGCACAAAACAATGTTGACTATCCTAAATCAGTCCCTGCCTTTCCAAATACATATAAATCCTATCCCTCAGGATTCCCTCCAACAACTTGCCCACCACTGAAGTCAGGCTCACTGGTCTATAGTTCCCTGGTTTTTCATTACCACCTTTCTTAAATAGTGGCAACACGTTAGCCAACCTCCAATCTTCCTACACCTCAACTGTGGCTATCAATGGTACAAATATCTGAACAAGGGCCCAGCAATCACTTCCCTAGCTTTCCACAGAGTTCTAGGATACACCTGATCAGGTCCCAGGCATTTATCCACCTTTGTAGGTGTTTTAAGACATTTAGCACCTCCTCTAATATGGACATTTTTCAAGTTGTCACTTTTTACTTCCCTACATGCAATATCTTCCATATCCTTTTCCACAGTAAACATTGACACAAAATACCCATTTAGTATCTTTCCCATCACCTGTGGTTCCACAAAAAGATCAGCAAGGCCACCTACAAGGAGTCTTATTCTCTCTCTGGTTAGTTTTTTGTCTTTAAATGTATTTGTAGAATCTCTTTGGATTCTGCTTGCCCCTTTTTGCCAAAGCTATCTGATGTCCCCTTTTTGCCTTCTTGATTTCCCTCATTAGTATAATTCTACTGCCTTTATACGCTTCTAGGGATTCATTCAATCTCTGCTGTCTATATCTGACATATTCTTCCTTTTTCTTGACCACAACTTCAATTTCTCTAGTCATCTAGCCTTGCCCCTCACCCGAACAGGAACATACTGTTTCTAGACTCTCGTTATCTCATTTTTGAAGGCTTCTCATTTTTCAGCTGTCATTTTACCTGTGAATATCCACCCCCAATCAACTTTCTTGCCTAATACTGTCAAAATTAGCCTTCCTCCAATTTAGAACTTTAAGTTTTAGAACTGGTCTATCCTTGTCCATTATTACTTTTAAACTAGTATAATTATGGTCACTGGCCCCAAAGTGCTCCACCACTGACACCTCAGTCACCTGCCCTGCCTTATTTCCCAAGAATAGGTCAAGTTTTGCACCTTCTCCAATAGGTACATCCACATACTGAACCAGAAAAATGTACTTGCACAGACTTAAATTCCTTTCCATCCAAGCCCTTAACACTATAGCAGTCCCAGTTTGTTTGGAAAATTAAAATCCCCGACTAAAACTACCCTATTATTCTTACAGATAACGGAGGCCTCCTTAGAAATTTACTACTCAATTTCCCACTGACTACTGGGGGGAGTCCATAGTACAATCCCGATAAGGTGATCATCCCTTTCTTATTTCTCAGTTCCACCCAAATAATTTCCCTGAATGTATTCCCAGGAATATCCTCCCCAGGTACAGCCGTAATTTATCCCTAATCAAAAATACCACTTCCCCTCCTCTCTTGCCCCACTTTCTGTCCTTCCTATAGCATCTGTACCCTGTTGTCAGTCCTGTCCATCCATGAGTCACGTCTCTGTAATCACTGTGATATCCCAGTTCCATATTCCCAACCATGCCCTGAGTTCATCTGCCTTACCTGTTAGGCCTCTTGCATTAAAGTAAATGCAGTTCAATTTATCAGTCCTACCTTGTTCTCTGCTTTGTTCCTGTCTGCCATGACTTTTTGACTTGCTCCTTTTCCCATCTGCACCAGTCTCAGACTGATCTCTTTTCTCTCTGACTCCTGCACCCCCCCACCCCTCGACTAGTTTAAATCCTGCCGAGCAGTTCTAACAAATCTCCCCGCCAGTTTATTAGTCCCCTTCCAATTCAAGTGCAATCCATCCTTCTTATACAGGTGATTTCTACCTAGAAGAAATTCTAATGATCCAAAAATGTGAATCCTTCTCCCTTGCACTTGCTCCTCAGCCACACATTTATCTTTCTATCCTCCTATTCCTAACCTCACTAGCTTGTGGCACCAGGAGTGATCCAGATATTACTACCCTCAAGGTCCTACTTTTTGAATTCCTGACTATCTTCCTTTATTCTCTCCTCAGAATCTTGTCCTTTTCACTTCCTATATTGTTAGTTCCAATGTGTACAATGACCGCCTGCTGATCTCTCTCCCCTTTGAGAGCACTCTGCACCCCCCCCCCCCCCGGCCTCCTTGATCCTGGCCCCCAGGAGGCAACACACCATTCTGATGTCTTGCTGTGCTTCTGATTAGAGCGTCCCCTGTCATAAATCGATCGCTTAGAACCTGACATACCCCTCGTTACATTAGAGCTAGTCTTAGTAACAGAAACCTGGCTGTCAGTGCTACATTCCCCTAAGAGTCCATCACCCCTACATTTTCCAAAACAGCATTCTCGTTTGAGATGGGGCTAGCCCCAGGAGACTCCTGCACTACCTGCCTCCCTCTCCTGGAGGTAACTCATCTATCTGACTGTATCTACGGTTTTTCTACCTTCCTGCAACTGCTATCCATCACACCATCTAGTTCCTATAAATACCTCAGTGCCTCTAACTGCTGCTCCAACCGATCCAAGCGATCCAGTGGGATTCGCAACCAAATACACTTCGGGCAGACATAACCATCAGTAATATAGAAACTCTCCCTAATCTCCCACACTCTACTAAAGGCCATCTTTGGACCTTAATCTGCAGACCCAGAAAATAGTCCAGTCTTACTGCTCTAAAGACACTGCTCCAGGACAAATTAGTACCTATGTTTTATATTTTTGAAGTTAAATCAAGAGACAGATCTCAATAAACATATAATCAAAAAAGAACCCACTCTACTCACTGTTGTAGATTTACAAAAAAAAAACAACAGTAAGGTTACACTTTAAAACCAGCCACTTAACAGCTCCCCTCCTGTGAGCTCCCCTACATAGGTTTCTCCAAGTTCAGCCGTAAATTTCACATACCCGTGACACGCAGGACCAAGGTAATTTACAAAATACCTTGCAATGACTGCAACAAATATTGCATTGGCCGGACCAGAAGGGAACTAGCCATCAGGTTACATGAACACCAGCTAGCAGCAAAACGACATGATGAATTTTCCCTCATCTCAGTGCACTCCAACAATGAAGTCCATCAATTTAACTGGGACAACATGACCATCCTAGCTCAAGCCAATCACAGACATGGACAGGAATTTCTAGAGACCTAGTTTTCAAACTGTAATGTAATCAACAAACATCTGGAATTAGACCCCATGCAGAAAACAACCCAACTTAACAGATTGGATCATATAAATTCCAAGTGAAGTAAAACAACATTGCTTCATCGGAGGCCACACTGATGATGTTTCATCATCATGCTAGGTAACATCAGTACAATAACCAGGCAACTTGACAAGCTAATTTTTCTGTTTGTTTATCTTTCTTACAATGAACTCCGATACCCAGAGATACTTGAAACCAAACACATAAGCAGTCAGCAATGCAGGGTCACTACCTAGTCAGACAGCTGTGCAGTTTACTTCCCTGTTTGTTTCACCTCCCACATGGTCAGCTCTTTGTTTTTCTTTCTCCTTTTTAAAGTGGTTGTCTTGATCTTTTTTTTCCCTAAAAGTTCCAAAACAATGCAACAGCTAAGAAAACAGTAATTACTGCTCCTAGAATTTGAGGAAACCTGCTCCAATACCAAAAATATCTCAAAAAAGGAACAGCTCTTATACCTATAATTCTTTTCCTCATCTGCCATCTTGGATTACCCAGAATCCTTTTTGCTTTACCATTGAACATGTTATGGAGATGCTTAATTATAGTTTTTTTAAGGATTTATTCAAAGAATTATGGATATTAGTTAATTTCAAATGGCTAAAAAAAACTAAACATTTTTTATAAGGATATTGCATTGGGAAATTTCTGTTTTAAAACACTTCTTGTCACATGGTTTAAGCTAATTACTTGGCCTTGTTTACTGGAATCACATGCAGGGTCTATTACTTTGTGTTGTGTGTAGTAGAGGGGTGGGACTGGAAAGAGATAGTGCACTTTCCAATCTTGGTCATAACAGCAAAAAATTCTGCCCTTTGTTAAAGTGCATCCAATCCATGCATTGTTTTATTTTACATTTACTTTTAAATACAGAAAATAAGTGCAAATACAATGTAAATAAGATCCTGTTTAAAATAAAATTGTCTTAATTTGGAGAATCATTACATGCATTTTTTTCTTTATGCTTCCCAGGGAATTGATGTTACCGGCAACAGCAGCATTTGTTGCCCTTCCCTAACTGTCCTTGAACTGAGTGACTTGCGAGGCCATTTCAGAGTGTAGGTAAAAATCAACTGCATTGCTGTGGATCTGGAGTACGAACAGTTAAGGTAATACCAGATAAAATTGGTAGATTTTTTTTTTCCCTGAGGAACATTATTGGACCAGGTGGGTTTTTGCAACAATTTCTGATAGCTTTATGCTCACCATTGCTGAAAATTGAACTCAAATTTTAACAGCTGCCTTTGAACCCTTGCTAGCCCAGCATTAGTCTCGGCCACAAGATTACCAGTCGAATGGTATTACCACTCTACCACTGTTACTCCAAAACTAATTCATACGGCTGTAAAACAGTTTCAGTCAGATTGTTGACTGCACAGCTTCCTTTAAGGCTAAAAATGGATTGTATGTTTTAAAAAAAAATTATCCCTCATTCCATCAGTTTATCAAATGCCTGCTTAGCTTAAATATTCCCCTCATTATATCTCCATAGCAACTGGTATTAAAATTGCCTTGACCTTACATGTAATGGAGCAATATACAAAGAAAGATAGAACTGGATAATTATATAAAATATAACTTAGCTCCAAATCATTTGGTTCTTTTATTTAACACAAATGTCTCTTCTTTTTTAGGCCTGGATATTATTGGTTTTATAATTTACAATTTTCTAAACTTGAGGTTGGCTAAGAAGTTATGGTTATGTATCAGACTACAGGAACAAAGAAAAATCAAGACAACTTATCTCTATTGCTCACTTCATTGCATTACCATTTACCATGTTCTGTTAGTTAAGAAAATTTGTTGATCAAGGTATCATATGTATCTATGAACTGTTTCCAGATAACATAGGGTCTGACATTGAGTCATATGTTCTACAGTAAGAGCTACAGACTGAAATTACTTGTTCTCTTGTTGTTTCATATATTACCACTTTACTATAATGATATTTTTATCCAAGGTAATGAGACTTATTTTCTTACCTGATCACATCTATGTGTTTGACTCATCAGTAAAAAGAGCTAAAGGGATATAGGACAAAATGGTCTTCTCTACTGAATTTATATGTTTTTTTGAATTCATCAGATAATGCTTGTTAAAGATTATTTAGACACTATGGAACAGAACACAATATTGTCAAAGAAATGTTTCAAAAATATTCACTGATTAAAATGTATTCTTTATCAACAAGTACCATTGTTCCATCTGTAGTCAAAAAGTTCTAGTTGAGCTGCTTAACATATTAGAAAAAGTGACCACAACAAACTTTCCCATTATACAAACTTTGCAGTTAGAGGTCAGAATAAACTTAGTGACATTCTTAGTGCTTCAGAATGATAATTGCCAATTCAGGTTAAACATATTCCTGGAGGTTTCATCACATTACTTTTCACCAGCCCATCCACATGCTTGCATTTAGATAAGAACATAATAACTATGGATAAGCAACTCAGCCCGTTGAGCCTGCTCAGTTGTTCAATATGATTGTGGCTGATCTCATCACAGTCTCAATTCGACTTTCCTGCCCACTCTCCATAAATTTTCAACCATTACTAATTAAAAATCTGCTTAACTCTTCTTTAGTGACCCAATACATCCATCATCACCCTCCGCTGCCCATTGGAAACCAAAGTGCTCATTATTCAGTTGAATGATTCCTAATTTTCAAGCATACACCCTTCCCATCTCCAATATTTTTAAATTAATAGACAAGTATTCAATTAAAACATACACAATTTTTATCCCTTTGGGATTTTTCTTGTGTGTTTTCTCTGGACATTAATCTTTAACAGTTGGAGACTGCAGGACAATCCTGAAATGTTAGCAAAAATACTCAGAACACATTGAACAAGAATTCCTAATCTCAGCTGACAGGAGATATATAACAGGACAAGCCACTAAATTCTAATGAAGAAATCTTATCTCAGATCTGTTTAGTCAACTCATTAATGGTTCTATTTGTTCCCAGGGTTCCTATATGATGGAGTAATGCATGATGCTTGTAAAGTTAATGTTTTGTACTGAAAAATCACAGAAAATTCCATGATAGAAATTATGAATGCATTTATGCACAAAATGTGAGGTCAGATAGAATTAATCAGTTACATTTTCATTTCTTCGACTGATGAGATGCAATGGAAATGTTTCAGAATAAGTTACTATATTAATTACTTTACTGGTGCTTTAATTCTTTTGGGAAATAAAAATTTAAAATACAAATTACTGATTCAACATTATATTCGACAAAAAGGCAAACTTCTGTGAGCTGGTGTTCCACATGTTCCACGTAAATATGATGGTGCATGATGACAGTCATGCAACAGAATCTTTTTCCAATATAATGATAATAAAATAATTAGATGAATGTCTGTATCACCGTTTGATATTCAATGTTTGAAAAAAAGAAGCTATATACATTATTCCAGTCTCTGTAGAACTCTATGATAGCAGTTCTTTGCATATTCTTTATCAGATTACCCATGAGACAATGCATTTATTCAACTGTTGCAGCAAAGCAGGCTGATCCAATGCCTTTTATCTGCTGCTTGTCACCAAGGCGTTATTATTGAAAATTTTACATACCAGTATTTCAATATATTTCAAGTGTCCAATGAACATCATGATCCTCTTATTCCAATGGAATAATTGGGATCTTTCAACCAGGCTGAGCACTGGCAATGAACAAATTTAACACTAGGTCACACAATTGGTTTCCACTACAGAGACAACAGTGTGGAGCTGGATTAACCCAGCAGGCCAGGCAGCATCAGAAGAGCAGAAAAGTTGGCGTTTCGGGTTGGAACGCTTCTTTAGACCTCTTTTCTGAAGAAGAGTCCTGACCCGAAACGTCAACTTTGCTGCTCCTCTGATGCTGCCTGGCCTGCTGGGTTCCTCCAGC